AAAATCCAGGCTCATGAATCAGATTTCTTCTCTGATCTAAGGAACGGAACTTACGGCGTACCTTATCACTTACCACTTAAGAACTAAGTCAAACAAGTTATTTAACAAAAGAGAGCAAAGTAATGATAATCTCTCTTGAAACTCGGTAATTATGGGATTATTTAGTTTCCAACAAGTTCTGTTTCTTCTAATCTATACATATTAAAACTCTGGCACTAGAAGAGCTGAGTAGTTTTCTATCCATTCCTAAGCTGCCAGGTTACCTGAGGAGAACAGTGTGCAGAGCATATGAAATGAGATATTTAGAACCAGTGAAGCCACATTTGTTTGTAGTTTTACAGGTACGGCAATAGGTGTTTATTGTTCTATCAGAGTTCACTGGTGAGACTCAGGCCAAGCTTCATCAATGAACGGTTGACCAGAAAAACTGTGTACTTCATCTAATTATGGCCTAATCAGTGAAGCATGCAAGTCTTTGTAATTAGGAAGATTATTAATAGTGGGATATGCTACATGAGCAAAGGTGCCAGGAACTGGCTTGAGAAGTCTAGAGAAGGCTTTTGGTAAAACTTCACAGTGTTTTGAAAGAGACGACAGAAAACAAACTCAGTGCGTGGTTTCCTGTTGTGTATTTCAGTTTACAAGGGAAATGTGAAATACACTTTTTGTTTGTTTCACTGTGACAGATTTTGTGAAACACCAGGTACAGGTGACCCTTCCCGTGAAGGTTTTATTGCTCATCAGCCGCTCACACTGCATCTGTTAACAAGCTGGATTGACTTCACCAGATACACTTCTCTGTTTTAGGAAAAGGCATTATTCTCAGATAGACTTTGAACAAAGGTGCTGCTGCTTGCTTACCCGGGTGATCCATATCATCTCAGTTTGCTTTACTAAAACTAATACCTGACAAACTGAAGGATGTGCTGGTCAACATGAACTGAATGTAAACTGCCAAACCACTCAGTGCCAGCTACAAGCAACCAAATACCAGGATTACCTTGTTTTTAACCCTTTCAGGCCACCTGAGCAGAGCTGTCATTACCGCCAGCTCTGCATCCCTACTCTAGAGCATCACCAAACACTGTGTACCAGATAGCATTTCTTCAGCTCTTCCAGTAAACCTGTATGTTCAGCACTACTTCCACCACATCATTCTGCTGACCTACACTATGGTGTTACTGGGTTATATTAAAATGGTAACAAATGTTTAAGATTTTACACACTGTCATTTCATATTCTTGTCTTCCACATGGCTTCAAAGTCTACCAGAACCACACCCCCATTCTGTGTCCTTAACCCGCCATCCTGCACTGCACACTCAGCCGTTCACTGGGCAAAGCCGGAGCCGCTGTGCAGTGAAGTCTTTAGGAGTCGCTCCTGCAGTCAGCCCCCTCATTAGCAAACCACTTCCTATCAGAAGTGCCCTCAGGTTTTGAGAGCACATCAAAACTGCATCCACTTCAGAAACCGAGCTTTGATACCGTGCTTAATGACTTTCTAAAATTGTCATTTCCAAAGTATTTCACAAGCTTTCCTAAAGAAGAGCTGAAGTATGCCCATGCAGGAGCCAACCTCCCTAGCACTCCTTCTCCAGATGCCCAGTTGACGCATGATGTATGCAATTCCATTTTCTGGGATTTCATTTAATCCTATCATTTCCCCAGGACCATCTGGACACGTTATCAGATACGAACGGATCATACGATGGTAGCAGCTCTTCCTCTCGTCTCCTCCACGTCTGTCCCTCCTGCTGCTCCCAGGCCCCCTGGGTCCCCCCATTCCCAGACAGCTGGACCAGCCAAAACCACCACTGCTGTGCAACGTGCATCAAGCTACAGCTTCCCTGCTTCTCCTTGTACACAAAACATAGATACACTATCCTACAATCATAGGGGCATATTATCTCTTTTCCCTCAAATGAAGACAACACAGTTCTGCTCCAACTGTACCACCACTGTTCAAACAGGAAAAGTATTTCCCATCGGCACAAGTGAGATTTCTTAGCAGGAATACTTAGGAAGTGTGTTTTTACACCGGTATGTATCACAGAAAGGTTCATGTATTAAACCTCCCAACTCAGCACATCACGCTGAGTGACAGTTTGCTGACAGAGGTGCTGTGATCCATCCTCGCTGGCACCTCTAAGGAAGAGATGGCCAGGTCAAGACAGCAGTGAACGCTGCGAGATATGGTAAGAATTTAGGGCCTAATCAAATCTATGGAAATAAAAGCGTGGCTTTTGAAACCGGATCATCGATAAGTGAGGAAGAATTTTAGTACATCAAGTAAAACACTGAATTACAATGAGTTTCCATTATTTCAATTCACCCATAAGCATCTCAAACCTGCAAATATTTCAAGGTTCACAGAATCCTAATTTATGACTAAATTAATTCATAACAAATCTAGAAGTGCAGAAAACAGCCATACATGTTATGAATGGATTTGAATGGGAACAAAATCATATTATTAGAGCAATTTTTAGAAATTAAGCCTCCTCTCTGCTACTTAGAGATGTACTAAAAGTGACAGAATAGATGTGATATTGGAAGAAAAGTCCTAAGAATGGTCTGTTGTTTCTTGTCCTAAGTGCAGCGATATAAATGGTTACAGCATCCCTGTATTACTAAAATAAAAAATCACCTTTTGGAGCTGAACTACTGTTTTGTAACACAACAGCTGAACTGTGTCAGGAGAAAAAGCTTCAACGGGATTTTAAATAAATTCAGAGGTCCACGCATCACGAGTTCCCTCTAATATTGCTAGGCATAAATGGATAAAATCTCACGCCAAGAAGTGTCTGCTTTATGCCACTATCCTGCAAATCTGGAACCACACCGGAGAGCGCATTTCTCTTGAAGAACAGGTTCTTGTTGCTTCCTCTTCAGGACGAACACCCTGCAGCTATTGATCTGCCTCACTGTTTGCTATGGAGGAAACCACTGCTGGGCACAGGCGTGAGGAATTAATGATGGGTTTGCAAGAGTCCACGCTGCGGTGCTGAACCAGTGGGGCAACTGTCAATCTATATGGTAATGCCTCTCCAAACTTCATGAAACCAGCCATGTGAAGAAGCATTGATTTTTGAGCTAACCCGGATCTGTGAGAGAGCAAAACTGAAGTGCACTGAAGTTAACACCTCTGTACATAATCGTTGCTTCATACTCGCGTGATTTTTTTGTAAACAACCAAACACACAGAAAGCCTCATCCCAAAACCTTCCCAAGTCAAAATGAACTCCAGGTTTGTTCCTGGTGTGCTGTCTGATCGTGTCCTTCTTTATCTTATTAACGTCATCGTTAGAGAAATTCAATACGTTAGAGTATTCAAAATGGACTCACTGCACTGTATTTCCAATTACATCGTAATTCTCTTATTATGAGGAGGAAACGAAATGCAAGCAAACAGACTCATTCTGTTATCAATGTCTATGACCGTGAGCATGGAAGCAGCTCGTGAGTCAAAACAGGTGACAGGGAAATGGAGACCATCACCTGCAGAGAAGTAATTCCTGCTACAGAAATGCACCCCAGTCGTTCCATACTGCCTGCATTTCATTAGTCAGGTTTTTAGTTTGAAATCATGCACAGCAGCCTTATCAAAACTGCACTAAAGTCAAGAGAATTTGTCATATTTTCTGTGGATGGTACTATTTTGGTTTTTTTAAAAGAAAAATCAATCAGTCACTGATTCTTTTTAAAATACTGGCTTCCTTCTATGCACTATTATTACTAAATATACATTTCTTCTTTGGTTTTGATGAAGAAATGTATCCTGCTATGCCTAGGGAGAGGAAATATTACTTAGATTCAATTTAAATCAACAAAAAGAGACCGCTGTTAAAAACCATAATCGCCTGCACCTTTCTGAGCTTTTCCCATCAATATAAACCCGTACTTCTGGTTTGCAGTGTTTGCTTTGACAAGCGGTTCCTTGTGCTTCCAGTGCCTGGCACAACCGGGACAACCAAGTAAGTATGGGGAGGAGCCTCAATGAACACCTCAAAAAGCTCTCTTCTGGGAGCACCAACACGCACCAAGTTGAATTTATCACAAGTAATGTGTGCAGTGGGGAGCTGGCTTCATCAGCTGCCATCAGCTCCCAAAAGCTGCTCTGAGGCATCCCCAGGGAGGTTCCTCCTCAGCTCCTCACAACAGCAAGTACCAAAACCCTTCGTTCATATTCTCACCAAGTCAAGCTTGCACCTTCATCAGCCTATCAGATGGAGGACAAACGCCTGCACGTCCATTGTTACTATTTTTCCTCTTTAGTTTAATTTAAAAATAGGTGAGCACATAAAATTCCCTACTTAAAAAGATTTAGCTGATCCATGTGAAGAAAAGGAACCTGGGTTACATCCACTTGAGAGGACAGCGGGCTAAACGCAGTTTACTTTGTGAATCAACCAGTGCCTCGGGGTTTTGTCACAAATGCTTGCTGCACCATCTAAACTCTCATTTCCATGATTTTAATAAAGAGAGGTGCTTTGCCTCAGTCTGATGCACACCTTGGCTTTCTAAAAGACCACCAATGCTTACCATTAAGCAAATTAATTTCTTTTTTTGGTAACTTCAGAACATGAAAACACACCAACTGTGGTCATTACAAATCATCACTATTTTCACAGCTACTAGCATATTGCAAATTATTAATATTACTTCAAGCTGTGTATAAAAATCAGATATGAGAAACTATTTCTCTTAAGAAATTTCTTTCTGCTTCTCACCACGAAGTTTAATTTAGTGTACTACAAGCACGAGATTATTGCATGGAAGGTAAACTGTAAGATAAAACACAATAGGTATCATATTATATGATATAGATGTGGTAGAGTTTCCTGATATTGATGCTAAAAAAAACCCCCCGGCACACAGAAAAAAGCTTTAGTCAAACTGAGGAAGTGAGCAATTCACCTTCAAGAGTACACTCGTGTATTTGCAGGCATGGCCACACTCTCACAGCTGTGCATTAAGGACATACAGCAGAAAAAGCCCTACCGTTTTCCTCGTCTGACTTGTTGTCGTTGTCGGAGTCGGTGAGCGTGAGCGCAGAGTTTTCCCGGCTGGAGAGCCCCGAGCTGCGCCTGGACTTGATGCCCCGTCCCCAGAGGCGGATGGCGTGCTCTGGGGACATCCCCCCCTCGGGGTCCGAGTCCGCATCTGAGCCCGTGCTCAGGGAGTAGCCCTGGTGCAGGATCCCGATGTCCGAGCAGTAGCCGCTTCGGTGGGGAGAGGGCTCGCAGATTCCCAGTTCTGCCAGGGTGAAGTTTGTTCCTGGAAGGGCAATTGGAAAAAATAATTAAAATGCACAAGACAAAGGTAGGAAAGGTCTCTACATTTTAGGTTACTATTTTTGCCCCAAATAATTAATCATTAAAGGAAGGTGATTAATGACACGTGCTCATGACATGACCTGTTTGTTATGTATCTAACCCTGTATTTGTTGGACCAGACCATGAGCTCTGAAGTTGAGCATTTCATTACTCTAAAAGAGGATATTTTTCTTAAGAAACTCATTTTTCTCAAACACAAGTCTTCCATACAAATAGGATTTTTTAAATTTGAATTTTCATGCAGTTTCCTCTCTCACAGACAATAAACACTTATTTGGCAAAACAGCGTTTACGGGTCAGGATCACCTGAGAGGACGCAAACCTATCAGTGGTGTGACACAAAACCTCGCCACCAGGTTTGCACTTCTGTTTGCTGAGATTGGTGGTTTTGTACCTGCTACAGAGATCAAGACAGAGCTCATAACCATTGCAGTGCTTTTCTACCTTTTCTCAACATAGTCAAGAAGCAAACGTGCATCAACACCAGCTCAGGAGGTCACCAGGTTTGAAGGGAAAACTGAGGAGCAGTGTCCCAGCACGCACCCTGTAGTGGTTGGTAACAGCTCGTGGATGGGCTCATCCATTTTTAATGCAGATGCAGTCCTGCAGGGCTGTCAGAAAGCACAGCCTCGCTGGCTGATTCCTGCTTCTGCTTCCTACGTAACCAACAGGATGGTAAAAGAGTACAGGGAAATATGCACTGGTCTCTAAGGCTTTTAAAGGTTTGGAAAACCAGAGTGATTTTAGCTTCATTACATCGGGCTAAAAATGAAGAATGACTGAAGTCACTGGCAGCGTAACTGCCGATTATTTAATTCACAGGGAAACTGGATCTGTGCCCTGTGTTTCTAGAACAGTAGTTTTATTTGTGCAAAAGCAGTTTCTGTTTTCTCCTCTTCCTCTATATATTTATCAGAATAAAGTTATACAGAAGAAGTTCATACAGTAAATAAAAAACACACTTAAGTGTCTTCTAGTAATAAAAAAGTCAACAGGAATTATTATTTCTAAAGTATAAGAAATACCTTCACAGATTAGCCAGGAAAGATCACTCAGTATTAAATCTACCTGGTCCATCTGTCTGTATCTATTACTATTTATCCCAGTAATCAGACATTTTGTGGTTCAGTCAAAAGCAATGAACTGAACAGTCCTAAAACTGAGCTCCTCAAGTGCACTTCAGTCTAGAGAATTTTGCCTGGTTTTTAATAAGAGCTCTAGCACGACACTTAAATGAAACTAAATTACTTTTAAAGGAGATGTAAATTTTAATCATGTGCCATTTCAGTAGAAGACATTTTACAAATATAGCTTTGTTCTAGCCCTGTTAGCAAACTAACAGACTCATTAAAAAAGGTAAAAACCAACCCAAAATATTATATGTGACAAATGGAGTGACCTGAAGCCCACCAGCACCACAGAGTCTGACCTACACAGGTAGAGCGCACATTAACATCAGGTACATGTTAGAACTACCACGCTAGTCGTGAACTCGTCAGATCCCTCTGATTGGCATCCTGTACTGACATAGCAGTCTGACTACAATATTTAATGCAAAAAGCAATTTTCGGAGAAACTCTTCCTTCATTTGTCTGAGGAAAATGCCAATAGCAGTGGAAGGAAAATTCACCGTTCTCTGAATTCATTCATCCATTTCAGTTTTATTATCTGGGAACCTGGCATCTTCCACAAACATGGAGAAAAATACTTGAAAAGTGACCAAATGATAAAATGTGAGCAGCGGATCAGATCAACTCCGGAGCAGAAATGGGCTCAGCCGCTGAGCCTCTGGGAGAGGATTTGCTGTGCTGCTTCTCCAAAATCTCCTTACTGCCTCACCACAGAAAATCTCAGCCATCCTGATGACAGACATGAAATATTCCCTCTCTAGCAAAAACATGTTCTTCTCTAGTAGACTCCAAATTCATTTTATTTATTAATTTTCAGTGTTTGCTTCTGCAAAAGATTATTTGAGAGTGTTCTGTGAGACAGTATACAAGGGCAGAGCAACTTGTCCTTGAATAACCCCGTAAGGCCATTATTTGGAGATGTTTTTCACATCTATACACACACATATATAAAACCATTTTTTGAGATATATTTTATACCTAAATATTTAAACTGTATCTCTCTATATATATTATACTTCCTGATATCTTCATAGCCCTTAATTCACTGTAAAATCTGAGGAAAAGGAGATAGAAACACTATAGTTCTGTTCTCTAGACCTTTTCTTGATCTGGATCACATTCTTCTCCAGGTCATGCTTCCCTAAAATGAAACTGTCCACATCTCTTGAATAATGTATGAACTGCTTTCACTAATATCATCTCCTCTTATTTGCTCAGCCATTATTGCGCATTAAAGTATTAATGGCATTAGTAGACCGCTCTTGTAAATTCAGATAGAGAATAAATACAGTTCTGGATGCAGATAAATAATTTATCCAATAATTTGTAGCAGAAAGTACTCTACTATTACTTTGCAAATAAAGTACAGTTTCATGAGCAATGAGGAAACACCTAACTCGTTTCACATCCGCTCATACGGGCAGAAGGCTCCACACAGGACCTTGGTGACGCAGCCTTCCTGGCCCCGCAGCCCCTAGAAACCACAGCACCCATGAGCTGGAGCAAGGACACACAGACACTCTCTGGGCCGGGGTTGAGATCTGGTGTCTTCCTCAAGAGGTCTCACCCCCACAGCTCTTTAAGTGATCAGGAAACCAAGCAAATCCAGAGCTCCTAGAAGGAGAGCAGAGGAAGGAGGGCAGTGCCTGCTGCCTCCCGTGCCCTGGGAGTTCCTGTTGCACCGCTGTGCATTCACAGGGAGAAATGGGGTCCCTGAGCTGAAAAGCGCCACGGGCAGCAGCAGCTGAGGCAGCTGGATGGGATCACACAGCGTCACACAGCACTCTGTGCACAGGGGCTGCATGGGGTGGGCAGTAACTACACTGTACTGGAACTGAAAAATGGGACTGAAATGTGCTGACAAATTCCATCCCTGCACGTTCGAAACTTGAGGGTGTTTTCTTTCAGATTCTCCTAGCATCTACTACATTGCTGGTGACACTAAGTGAAAACAGATAAATGACATTACATCTTTATTGCTGGAAATGAAATAAACCCTTCTCTTGAAGAAGAAGGCAACTCACCTAGCTCGGAGGCACCACCAAGGCTTGATCAGAGGAAGCCACACATAAAAACAGCTTCAATTCAGAAAGACAGACGGGTCCTTGTCATAGGGGACTCACTTCTGAAGGGAGTGGAAAGTCCCATTTGCAGACCAGACCCACTTCTCAGGGAAGTCTGCTGCCTCCCAGGAGCCAGGGTCAAGGACATTCAGAGAAAGCTCCCTACCCCAGATAAACCCACTGACTGCTGCCATTGATGGTCTGTCAGGCAGGCAGAGATGAGACGACAGCAAGTAGTTTGAGAGCCATGAAGAGGGATTTCAAGGGCTTGGGATGGCTGGTTAAGGGACAGGGAGCACAAGTCGTGCTGTCCTCTATCCACCAGTTGCAGGGAGATCTGAGGCAACAAACAGAAAGAGCAGAGACTGCTGACACAGGCGGAGTGCCCAGGTGGCCAACGCCATCCTGGCTTGTGTCAGGAACAGCGTGGTCAGCAGGGGCAGGGCAATGATTGTGCGCCTGCACCCAGCACTGGTGAGGCTGCACCTTGAATCCTGGGGTCAGTTTTGTGCCTCTCACTACAAGAAGGACATTGAGGGGCTGGAGCGTGGCCAGAGCTGGGGAGGGGTCTGGAGCACACAGGTTATGAGGAATGGCTGAGGGAGCTGGGGTTGTTTAGTCTGGAGAAAAGGAGACTGAGGGGAGACCTTATCGCTCTCTACAGCTCCTGAAAGGAGGGGATAGAGAGGTGGTGTTGGTCTCTTCTTCCATGTAATCAGTGACAGGACAAGGGCAAATGGCCTCATGTTGCACCGGGGGAGGTTTAGATTGGATATGAGGAAAAATTTCTGTACTGCAAGAGTGGTAAAGCACTGGAAGGGGCTGGACAGGGCAGAGGTGGAGTCCCCATCCCTGGAGGGATTCAGGAAGCCGTGGATGTGGCACTTGAGAACATGGTTTAGTGGGCATGGTGGGGTTGGGTTTGGTTGGACTGGGTGATCTTGGAGGTCTCTTCCAACCGTAATGATTCTGTGATTCTGTAATAAGAACATACCACAAAAAAGGCACAAGGTTTTTTGCTTTTCCATACGCAGCAGAACTTACCAGCCTTCATCTGCAGCCCCTTCATCCCCACCTCAGAAATCACCAGACCATCTTCAGTAAAGAAAAGCAGTTAATACCAGCTGCTCCTCTAAGGTGTGTGTAATCTCTCATACAAAACCAGACCAGTACTTGTTCAGAAATGTACTATGATGTTATGTACTTGATCAGCATTGCCCATGATCTACATGCTGTAAATAGACTCTCAATAGAGTAGAAAAGTTATCTTCCTTTTAATTAACACATCAGTCCTACTACCTTTTGAGCACATTTCCTTTTACAGAAATTCACTACTGCAGTTATTTAGTACTTAAATGCTTACTAGAACTGTGTTTAATTCAACAATGTACAGTTCTACTCATTAGATCAGCTAAGACTAGGAAGCATTACCATAGAAGCAAAGGTTATTTTCATCTAACCTCTAGGCAGAGGTCTCATTTGGGTAATTACGAATTGCCCTTCGCTGCAAGATGCCTCAGAGGAAGAGACTTGAAGCCAGCAATGCACAGACATGACAAATTTGGCTTCGACACGAGATCAGCAGTTCAAAACTGGGTGAGTCTAAAATCAAAATGATAAACATCACTTACATCCTTTGCTACTGTAATCAATTACAAGAAGTAAGGGTAAGAATAATATATTCCATCCTTTCTCCAAATGTTGTTACCTTCATAGCTATAATGATTTTTGCTGGCACAAGCACCACA